ATATAAGTAAAAAATTACATATTAATGTAATTATTGCCAATAAAGAGATAATTGTATTAAAAGTTGTATCTAAATTTAAGTTGACAATTTGTAATATAGATGTAAAAGTCAATTCATAAAAGTTAGATGTATAAATTCTGATTAATCCAGAGTAAATAAAATATTCATATTATTTTCTTGCCAGTTTTTAGAGTTAAAAAATAAATTTGATTACCTTATAAAAAAATTCTGGATAATTATTGTAAAATATAGCTGGCCAATTCTAATATTTAATAATTATAAGAAATTTATAAAATAAATACGAGATTACAAAATAGACAAATCCCAATATCACTACAGAGAATAGTGTTAATAGGTTTTATAAAAAATAACAATTGATTTAATAATATTCGAATTTCCATTTGGCTGGTATAAGTGGAATTTAATAATCAAATAGATTTTGTAAAAATAAATCTGTTTACAATATATCAATTATGGGAGTAAATGATCCAATAGTAAATATTTCAAAATAAATTTATAAGTTTTCTGGAAATTGAAGATTGTGATATTTCATAAATGATAATTATTGTAGCATATCAAGCAGATTCCATAAAATTTCTAAATTGCCAAATAAAAAAGCAACACAACTTACAATCAAAATGATATACATAACAATTCTACCTAAAAGAGCAGTTTTTTATAAAAGTGATTTATGATCATTTGACATTTTATAAGGAGATTTTAATGTTAACTTTGCTACATTAGATTATAAAGTGTTGTCCCATATATCTACAATATTATCACACTTTATTGTTACTTTTAAAACAGGATTCTCAATATTCTATTTAAAATTGACTAATAATTTATATGCTACATCAGTTAATTCAATAGTAATAGAGTTAATGGGTTTAATTTCAACATCATATTGATTATCTTAAGCATTTTCAATAACAACTATAATCATCTATAGAAATTGTTCTTCACTAATGTCTGTTACATTCAAACGTACTTGTTAAGAAAATGATAATTTAAATTCTTGATTATCTGAGATTGTTTTGGAGAGTTTAGTAAGTAGAATCTTAGGTAGAATAACGTAATTACAAACACTAATATTATTCTCTTGTTGACATTTCCAATTCATTTCAACTTTACAAGTATAGCTACATCCATCATTATTTTAAACATTTCCATCATCACATTATTCTAATTGCTAAATTAAATATCCATCCCCACAAATATTATAACATTATGATCCATCTTCTAAGTATCCTTTTTGACATTCTGTACATAATCCTTAGAAACAATTGAGACACATCTGATGACATGAATAAGAACATTGATAACATCCATCGAATTCAGTATTATTTCCATCATCACATAATTCCTTTCCTACTGCATATCCATCTCCACATATTGAAGTACAAACACCATTATTCAATACCCAACCATTTTTTTAACAATCTTCACATATCATACCATTACAAAAATTACATCCTAATGGACAATGTATTTGACATTTATAACAACCATCATAAGGTAAATAATTTCCATCATCACATTGTTCTTCCTTGCTTGAGACAATACCATCTCCACAAATTTCAATGCATAAATTGGAAAAGCATTAATTTAAATACTCATCCCAAATGCATTCTTAATTTTAATTATCTGTAAAGCAAGCTTCTTTGATTATATAATCCTAACAACTTTATTTATAAGTGCATCCTCCTTCTTATTTAACTGTACAATATGACAAATATGAATTGCATTCCTAATATGTAATAAAAGTAATTGATGCAGTTTAGCAAGTTTTGGTATAACATTTATCATCAATCCAAACACAAGGATTATAATCGATATCAAATGTACAGCCATCAATAATATTAACATCTTCACAAGCATTTCTTAAAATACATTGATATCCATTAGTTACACATCTTTTATCTTCAAATATAGAAGCACAAGCTGAATCAATAGCATAATTATAATCAAAACATCCTTTTATTCGACAACCTCCTTTTTAACAAGTAGAAAGGAACCCTATACACTCTTCATGAGATTAGGCAAGTGCAGGTCCATTGGTACATATCTTTTCTAAACAAGTACTTTTCCCTTCATCCCAAAAACAATAAATTCCACTTAAGTTTTTTTGTCCATCACTTTTGCATTATTCAAATGTATATTTCATACATAAGATTTAAGCAATCTCACATCCATCTAAATTTGTATTTACAGTACATGTATCACCAAAATACTATTAACAACTATGTGCTGAATATAAAATTAATTGAGCAGTGTTACATTCCTTGATTGTACAATTATTTTAATTTATTATCCATTCACATTCCACATTATCTTTACTAATCTTACATTATTCTTAATTTAAATAGTTATTGCAATCATCTAATTATTGGCATCCATCTAAGGTTAAATTTACTGTACAAGATTTTAATCGTTAATTGCATTTTTAATGAGTTGTATAAAAAGCTTCTAAATTTTAACAAGTTAAATTAACACATTGTTATAATTATTCTTAATAATAGCATTCATTTCCAAATTTATCTTTAAAACATTAAATTTGTTTTGCTGAAAGACAAGAAAAAGGAAGGTCAACACATTGAATTAAATCAACTTTGACAGTGCAACTTTTATTTAAATAAAAAGACTCACATTATGAATGTTCCTTATATAAAACATTAGCTTAGGTGCAATCTTCAACACATGAATTATTCGGACTATTATATTAACAATTAACAAGCCAATCTTAACAGTCTGTTGGTATTAATGGGGCTGTAGGTTTATTTGAACATGTTTTTTCTAAGCATATAGTACCATCCCAAAAACAAGGTATTCCTAAGGAATTCTTGGTAGTCGAGCATAAAGTGCTAGAAGTGTAATCAATACAAGGACCAATAGTTTAACATGTTGATCCATTCCAAATACATTTATCTATAAAAATATCACACTCTGAATTAGTGGTTAAAGATAAGCAGTTGAGTAATTGGCACCCTGAACCTACTGCTGCCATACAATATGGACGCCAAAGGAAACATTGAGAATTATCATTCGTAATATTCGAAAGTTATGGATCTTAACAGATATTTTTACATTCAGTTGAATCCCAATAACAGTCTATGCCATCAATTCTACTTACACAAGCATCTTAATATGTGTATTCTGAACATAGTTATTTTTTGATTGTGCATTTTGAAGTTAATGAAAATTAAATTGTTTGTATGAAATTTATTTCGTTACAATCTTAATGCGATTTAGGTTAGATAATGCTACCTAAATTACAGTTTTTATTA